ATACATGCGAAGTAAATGTATTTGGTCTGGTAGATACAAAAGCCCCCTAGGGAGGGTGTTCGTGGTAGCGGCCTTATGTATCGCCTGAGCTGCGGTAGAACATCTGATTGGATATTTTTGTATTGCAGAACTGTCGATCGTAGGTTGTCATGCCGAGTGTTCTGCGAATACTCTTTGTTGTGGTGGTTCGGTAGATTGTACACACGTAAGGATCGTACAACGGACCGTAGGTGTAAGTCGGTACGTTGGTATGTGGTACGTTGGACACTTGTCCAGTAGGAACGTTCTAGCATTGTCGCTGGAGGTCGGGCTTACGGGTCATTGTCGTGTTCGGTGTATTGCTTTGTGTTCCGAGTGTGCATCTATCCGGAGGAGACGTTGGGAGCTGGGAGCATCACGCTCGCCCCCTGTGCTCACTCCACTTTCCGACCTGTCTCTCCATACCTAGGTCTCACTAATACAATATATTTTCTCCAGAAGCCACTGATTTACCAACATGAAAGTCGACAGTCCGCAACGGCCACTGTTATTTGTTTGTTGCTGAGCGAGACCATCGCCATTTACACATGTCTGACCGGTTCCGGTGGGTCAGAGGGGCGAGGATGAGTGTCATCTTAAGAATCAACGCGTTGTCTTCTCTCCGCCCCCTTCTTTTTGTGGGGTCCTCACAACAACGTCAACCGCAATTGATTTGATTCTTGCTGAATAAGAGGCTGCTACCCGTGCACCCGGCTGTTACATGTGAGACGATGGGTGCTGCCCCTTGATTTGAGGCAATGGGCATGCCCCTGATGTTTGCTGCGGTGCCTATGTGACAGCCTCCGGCGGTTCAGAGCGGAGAGGGTACCTTTTCTCTGCTCTCTTCTGGTGCGAGGGGTGTTTACTTGCCGTGTCCGTGACTGGGCCCGCAGATATTTCACCCCCTCCATGCCACTCGGCCACGCACCACCACATCCCACTTTCATTTCTCAGCACACATCGATCTTCTACCATGCCTAGCTTCAGTCTCATCTTTCGATGTCTGAGTGTGGGTCGGTGGAAAATTCATTCGCATCCCCCCACCCCGCTGGAAAAACCTGAGAGCTTCAAAAATGCAACTCGACGATACTCGTCGAGTTGCTATCACAATCTCGGATAGCAGTGGTACATTTCGATTGTCCATCTCCGCGGCTGACTACTCTCGAGATTCATGTGGGGTTCTCCACATTTTTTCAGGTGAAAACAAAAGATCATGTGGATGGCGTACTAGCCGACGCACCCTTCCAGTTCCCGTTCCCGGTGGCCGCGGAGGAACCTGCGGCGAAGAGTGAGCGTGTCCAGGATGGCGCCTCGTCCGAGGTACAACACGTGAAGTAGGAAGACGGCAAAGTCACCGCGGGGGCCTCTCACATCAAGGTAAAGAGACATGTGTCGAGCACGGCAGCAAGTCGCACGTCTCCCTGGACGGAAACGCCGGTACCGTCTTCGCTTGCTTTGTTTTGAATATGACAGGCACGATCTCGCTTGTGTTGTCCGTCGTGTTCGTCGATCACAGAAGGCGAATACCGCGCTCCGAGCAAGGTGTGGAAGGGTGACACGATAAAGAGACTGAGGAGGAGCAGGTGGGCGGGCCTGGCTGTCTCGGATAGCAGTGGTACAATTCGATTGCCTATCTTAACGGCTGACAACTCTTGCGATTCACCTCGATTGTTCCACAATTTTCAGGTGAAAACGGAGGTCAATGTTGGTGTCCTAGCGGACACACCCTTCCAGTTTCCGTTCCCGGTGGCCGCGGAGCAACCTGCGTTGAATAGTGAGTGTGCCTAGGACGGCGCCTCTTCCAAGGTACCACACGTGAAGGAAGAAAGGGGCAGTGGGCTCTGAGGCTGGCACCACCTTTCACAACGTGAGTGAGATCGTTGGTGGATGGTCACCCGAGGGCGCTCGTGAAGAACGGTTGGGCCCGAGTCAATGCTTTGGATAACCTATTCTTCTGTTTTCTTGGCTCGCGTTTGTTGTACATGCACCAGAGCCCACACTTCAGATCACCGACCGAGGAGTGCGCGAGCAATGGAAGCCCTATCAGTAGAGAAAGCGTGTAGTTCGAGTAGCTTCTCTACTAGTAAACATGGAAATAAAGTAAGGCATCGATTATATGTCTTCAGGCCTGGTGCGGGCAGCGGGGTAATTCGGGTAGGGCATCTGCTACAAGACGAAACGGTAGCATGCATAGTTTGTTTGATGTGATGTGTGGGAGGGAACGAGGGAGGGCACGTTGGTTTTTCTGCGATAGTTACCGTTATGGTCTCTGCTGGTATTGGATGTACGTGGACTACGTACGTTTTCCTGAGGAAGGAAAAGAAAACCCCCAAAGATACATCAATCAAACAATGTGGTAGTGCAGGAAAAACATTATGTTGCTTGATGTGATGGGTCACAAGTTGGCATATGATTCAACGCATGACTAAATTGAAGCCTTGGTGTTTCCGCAATGTGTTTTTTGTGGTCAATGTTATCGTTGGAATCCGTCTTTTTTCAGGCCTCCGTGTTTCCGCAATGTGTTTTTTGTGGTAGATGTCATCGTTGGAACTAGGTTTTTTTCAGACTTATTTACAAGAAGTATACAATGCATCGACGGTTCTTGGTTATGTTGGGAATACTGGGCGTAACCTCAGCTATGCAAGAATACCGGGCGTAACCTCGGCTATGCGTGATTGTCCGGCGTAACCTCGATTTGAATAGATCTTGCTTGTAAGGCCCACATGAACATCATTGGGCGTGACGTCAACATGAAAAATAAAAGACATGGGCGTGCGGCCCTCAGCATGATAGCCGGAAAACACTTGAATAATCGATCATACACCACCCAAACACAAACACAGACACACGCTTACCACCACACCATCCGAACGTGGAAAATCGCGTACTGAATCAAGTCGGGGGAGGCACAAGGGTAGAAAAGAAGTAAATAGTTGATACCTCACAATCCAATTCATCTCAACAGCGGAACACCAAATTTGCCTGCAACTGCCAAAGAAAGTTCTTTGAAATAATCTGTCAATGCGCGAGTATGCCCAACACCGAGGTTGTTTCGAATGTTGATGCGTATGATGATTGCATCGGCTGCTGTGACCTTGTTTTCTCGAGGAGGACGCTGGTACGGCAATTGTAGTCTTATCTCCAGTTATTTCCCCGGTTAGACTATGACGGTCAGGAATGCGGGCGCTCTTCCCTACGTGGACGGGGCTGCGGAAGTCGTGCTGGTTCGCACGCTGCTCTGGAAAATGTGTCACACACATCATCCGTCTATAAGATGGAAGACGCGCTTTCTGGTCACGGGCCATTCAGAGGAGATGACATGTGTACACTTCGGGGCGCATGGCGGGGCTCTCGTCTCGCCGCCATCAAGCGACACTGAACACACCTTCTGCTACCTCGTGGCTCTCGATGAAATGACTCTGTGAAAGGTAACGAACCACATCGCCCCGGTGGTCTAGTGGGTAGCCTCGCAGCCTGCTAAGGGCCAGGTCATGGGATCGAGTCCCGGCAGAGTGAGTTTTTTTCATACTAAATAAATCCTGGTCTAGGATGAAAGCGACGCGCTGCAAAGCTTGTTGGTAAACCATAATAGACTTCGTTCGTCGCGTGGGAAGGGATTGCTGTATCGTTCTCGCGATAAAAATACCTCAGGCAGGAACCGCAGGAGGGGGTCCAGCCCCCCCCTCCGGGTCGTCTTGCTAGTAGAAGTGGAGGATAGGGGCCAGAGGAGCAGACGACAGAGTCCAATGATGGGAGAAAACAAAAAAAAAAGTACATCCATGGTCTATAGAGTACTCATGATACCCATGGACATCGGACTGTCAATTTCTTGACAGCCAGCAAACGGTCTCTTAAAAATTTCAAGCAGCAAGCGACTCGTTTCCAGCTGGGTTATTTGCGTCTTCACCGAAGATACCTACCGACGACGGCGGGGAGCTTCAAAAAAACGTCCGCACGAGCGTACGCACTTCATTTCAACCTCTCCTCTACAAAACAGACCTTTATCAGGACTTCATTCATTGTCATGGACAACCTCGACGCGTTGGCCTTCATTCCCAACCTGCCCTCGACCAGACCGAAGAATATCTGATCGAGATGAAACGAATCCTCATCGAGATCAAACTATATAGATGCCAGCTCAAGAAGGTGAGGTATGTGCTTCGCGCGGTTCAAAACGAGCAAGTCAAACGTCAGCGTCAGAACGACAGCAGCAGCGACGAAGAGGAGAACGAGTGGCAAGAGCAGCACCACGAGGACAACCATCTCCAACCACGACTTCATGGGTAATGGTGAACCCCCATTACAACAACGGGGAGCGACTGGTCGTCTAACGGCGACAATTCGCCAGTTGAACTTGCGCATGACAGCGGGTCTGCCGGCGAAACGGAGTCATCCCCGACTTCCCCTGAGCTCAGCAGCAACGCCGACATCAACAACGGCAACGTCCCTTTCCCTCGTCGACGATAAAGTCGAATTTTGCCTACTCACGAAGCTTTTCAGCATTTTACTGCTTTCCGCCACCAGGTACGAAATTGAGAAAAAAAACGCTCTCGCCGAGATTCGAACCCGTCACCTGGGAGCTAGAAGGTTGCAAGGAACCATCTTGAATGAAAGGCGCAATTTCGCAAAAGATGAACTCCAACGAAACTAAACGTAAGGAAAACACAACGGTGAAACTCTACATACGCCGATTACGCCAACGGGACTTACTTACAGATGGTGTTCCAGACGACTTTTGGGCAGGGAAAGCGGACACGCAGTTTGATCATTTCCGTGTTGGATATTGCGGAACGCTTTGGGTCATACTATTGACTCCCACACCGCACCGCCGCAAATTTTGGCGTAATGCCAGCGATTGAGTTCCACGGCTCTGCCGTCGACGCCCCTCTTCCTGATCCCGGGAAAGCAGAACAGAATCGGCACGGCGATCAAAAGTGTGATGCCCAGGTTAAAATAAACCATTACCCCCGTCGCCAGCGCCAGCGCCTGATGTTGGATGATTGGTAGTCGAAAACCCGAGGTTTTTAGTTAAAAAAGGCGTCGTTATTTGGCGCACGGCAGAACGCGCAACCGGCAAATCGGTGTGCGCCAAACACGTTGGAATGCGCTGCTGCTGCCGCAGCCCGGTTTCTTTAAAGCTACGCGACAGCAAGGAACAGGACAACCCTCGAAGTAGTTACTCATCAAAGGTGCTGCTTTCATCGGCGGTTGGCTACTTCTGCTTCTGGATGGAGTATCGTATCGGCGATCCACGCCGGGTATGAAGATCCTGGAGACCATCGAACCCAGATTGGACTTCCTGAGCTGAAGCTATTTCTACATATTTTCTTGCGCGTCGACATACATGCGTACCTCTTGCCAAGGAGTGCACTGCTCGTATGTCACGTTGATGGGTAGTGTTCCTCCACATGACCTGAACGTGCACTCGGAGTCGGAGGTGCAGCCACAGGTGTATGATACGGGCTGCCAGAAGTTGCTTATCACGCCATTAAAGGTACGGTTGAAGGTGTCAGTGTCGCTGTAGTAAATGAGCGTTCTTTCGGTGATGGTCACCCCGGCCTCACCCTCTAGCTTAGCCAGGGCCGGCGGGACATAGTCCAAGTCGGAGGAGGGTCCGGAGTCGCTGGGCAGGACCGCGTGGAACGTGGAGCAAGAGTGGAGCCAGGCCACGAACAGAACCACTAGGACCACCACGTTCAGAAGCGTGACCGCCGCGCCGAATTTGCCCCTGCTTTTTTCCCGCACGTATTCGAGGACTGGGAGCCGGCTCAACTCGAGGGCCGCTTCCCGCCGGGCGTCATCTGTCATGGACGAGTATGCCGACGAACGATTTAGAACCATGAGTTCTTTCTGTAGTCAGTCGAGACCAAAAATGCGTGAGTGAGCTGTGCGATATCCCTCACCACCGGTGCATGGAACGAACGGGGGGGTGCTGTTTTATTGAAAAACGTAGCGGCGGCGTTTCCAGGATTGATTGTCGGCAAATCGGCAAAGAAGCTTGCCCCAAAGGTGGCTGCGGATGCTCTGTGAAGGCGATGATGCGCACCCAGAGTTGAGAAACGCCGTGCCCCCTAGATCTGGTGCCCGAACTGGTTTGGCGCTGAGACGAGCACCTCTGTGCATAGTCTATGTTCGGCTTAAATGCCTGTGTTGATCAATGAACAAACACCCCACCGACGTCAAAATTCATGAAAGAAGACTGCACGCGGGTCGCGCTACAAGCTGGTTCAGGGAAATGGACCAAAAATCCCCAACCACTCCTGCCAGACGAATTTTGTACATGATGTTGACAAACGCAGTACTATAGTGACCCCCACGAGCAAAGGAACAAATTGTCGTGGCCGGAATTTTGATTTAAGGCTTCGCTGGGAAGATATGGGCTATTACGTGCCTCAGCCAATCAGGAGCCTCCAAATATTTCGATGATACGCAGGCATTTCCCAAAACGGGGACAAAAAACATAATAACGCCGCATTATTTTTTGAAAATTTCAGCCGGTGTCGCAGCTCCTGCTGCACCGGTGCTGCTGTACAACAAGCTGAGTACCTCTGCACACGCGTCTCGTACGCAAGGAGACCCTCCACAATGGAGCCTCTACAAAGTGTGGATCCCAACGTTGACACCCACAAACGCAAAGTATCGCAAGTTTGCGCAATGCAGTGCAGCAACACGAAGCGTTGGAGGCTCAGATGTACGTATCACCCACGGCCACATGCCACGGAGATTCGCAAAAACACCGCCTTCAAGTATGAAACGAAGGCGGAAGCGCTCGGAGACGCGGAAAACTGGACAAGTGAGCTGGAGAAGCCCATGTGAAGGCGGAGCTTGTCGCCCAAGCACGGTGAGTCTACGATTGCTGAGCGGATCTTGCTGCACGTAGCTACTGCTGTACAGCAGTACTGCTGGACAACCGCAGCAGCAGCAAATCGGCAGGGTGTGTGCTCCGTGGTGGGTTGAAACATGCAGCAAAGTCGCAACCAGGCGGGCGCGTCGCTAGCATGGTGGTGACATGTGCAACAACACTAGCCGGCGTTCATGCGTATGGTTGGTGCGTGTTTTCCATGACAAGTGTCGCTGTGTAAAAAAACGGCAAGTTGCAGTTCTACAGCATCCACACGTATGCATATGTACTGGAGAACCTTGACACGAATCCCGTTGTTTGCATCGGACAATCTTGAACAGTAGACGAGTTGTACAGCATGCAGCAGTGCAGTACTGCTAGTATTGATACAAAACAGTATAGTGTATTGTATAACCCATCTCTAATTTGTACTTCTAATAGAACACAGCAGTGCTCAGCAGCACGTAAGTGTACATACAAGAAGTACAAAGTGGTTAAACACGCCAGATCCGAACTTGTGTTTACACACTGTCTATTTTATAGAAGGCACCAGGTTATACAACAGCAGCAGCACGCAATTGTACAAGAAAGCATTGTGTGCAAGTCAGGCCCGAACTTGTACACATGCAACCCGTCTCAAAGACAAGGTGCCCAACTCTTACAAGTCGCGTCCAGCAGCAACCGACACAAGGGCATACCGCACCCACAGATAAACACAGACACCAACATTGGCTTAGAGGGGCTG